CTCTCGAGGAAGCATTCGCCCTCGCATTACGCGAAGACTATGTTGCGGCGGGGTCTTACGCGCGCGCGATGTATACGGCAGCTCGTGAAACAGCCCCCGAGCCCATGGAGATCGACGCGATTGACGCGTCGAATAGGCACCGTCAGCCGACTTCTCGTGGGCCCAACGGCCGTCCTAATCGCCCGCTCACTTGCTTCCGCTGCTGGAAGATTGGTCATCACGCGGTGGAATGCCGCGCGCCAGCGCCGGTCCTCGCGCACACCGCCGAAGTCTCACCTGCCGTTCAGTCAGAAAACGGTCAGGGCCAGTAGGTGCGGGGGCGCCACTGGGGGGGCGCCCGTATGTGCTGGAAAAGACGTTCGCATTCCCCGCGGGGTTTAACCCAATCTCTCAACCTCTCTGGTGTTCCCCGCCCACATCTCTCAAGATCCCACCACCCGCTTGCGGGGAAATGCCGATTGTTTCTCCGTCCCCGCCCCGGAGACCACTCTGCATCTGGATCGAGCTCGAATAACTTCTTTCGCGAATCGTGATTATCGATGCTTCCAAGAGAGATCGCAGTCCGTAATGGTCGAGGTCAGGTCGTCGTCAACCTTGCTGACGGAAAGCCACGCCGCGTTGCGCAGCGCGAGATAACGTTGCCGTATACATTCGACGGCTTCCGCAGCAACGACGACTTCCTCGTGATTGAGATGAACTACGCGTTTTACTGCATCTTGGGTATCCCGTGGTTGTCACGATATCAACCAGAGATTGAATGGTTGGCTCGGTCGGTTAAACACCGCTCTGGCTTTGATGTGTGTGAGGTGTTCACGCACCTCCTGGTTGCCCAGAAGGACTGGCCCCATATCACGGTCGGGGACCGGTTGTCCACAATGCAGGTTTGTGCAGAGAGCGAGCGACGGCCCTCTCTGTATGTCTTGCACAGCGCTGTTGCGCGAAAACGCCTCGCGACAACTAATCCTCTATAATCGAATGGCTGTGCTGATATTTGCTCAGATGTCAGCTTTGTTTCCTTTTCTAAAACCACACTTTTAGCTTGTGCTGTTGGATCTGTTCCAGAATCTATCATGTCAAATTTCGCTAGCAGATCGCCAATGTACTTCTTTTGCGAAATGCTAAGTAATTTACGTTCGCGGCCTCTATTAATCTCCATTTTGAGAACGTAGTGTAGATCACCTTAATCCTTCGTTCGAAAGCGGGCTGATAATTTAGCTTTCACTTCATTTAATGATGATGGATGTTGATCCTGCTAGGATAAGGTCATCCACATTTACACAGATTATTACTGTGTGAGTGACCCCACTGATCTCCCACGTTTTTCGATATAAACTGTATTCTTTTTTGCATCGTGAAAACCCCAACAATTTTAGAATGGTATGTAGAACATGATACCAGATTCGGGGCGCCTGTTCTAATCCATACAGAATCGTTCTTAGTTTACACACTGTTCTGGCATGACCTTTCCGAAATCCTAACGGCCGACCCACGTATATTTTCTCAAACAGCTCTCCGCAAAGAAATGCCGTCGAGACATCCATCTGGTGAAGATGGAGCCCTTAATTGAGGTAATTGCTAGTAACAGTCGTAGCGATTCGTATTGGGCAACTGAAGAGAAAAGCTCCTCATTATCAATTCCATACTTTTGAGTATTGCCTTGCACTACAAGGCGGGTCTTAAGCCTCTCAATGGTGTTATTAGTATTGTATTTGACGCCAAATAGCAATGAAACCCTAAAGTACGCCTACCCTGAGGCAGGTCACAAAGTTCCCACGTCTTATTTTCAAGGAGAGCATTGTACTCAATTCTAAGTGCAGCCTCCCACGGCTTAGCATATGGGCCTGATAGTGCTGCCTTAAGCGGCTTAGGAATGGGAATTCTATTTCTCTTGCCAATCGCTAGAGCTTTACACACAGTCATTAAGTCGCAAATTGGGCTTCCTTTTCCGTTTTGACCATGCCACCAAAATTTCTTTTTCTTCGTCTCCCACTATTTGGATACCCGATTCCTTATTTATGGGTGTTTCTCCCACAGTTTTGGTATTTCTCGGCTGTGTAACTGATATCCGTTTTGGTTTCCGTTGTTCGTCACTTTCACAAACCTCTTTACGTTTTCCTAACGTCAGAATCCCGCCAATATCAGCACCCGGTAGAGAGTCTGTTTAAGACGGGAACGACTTACTGATAAGCTGAAAGGTTGTTGAGATACCAAATATACATCCCTCGCAATGACGTATTTATAGTGTTTGATATCCAAAAGCCTATACCCTTTGTAGTCATCGGCTAACCCAAGGAATTTGCACTTTAGCAATCGGCTACACAATTTCTAATCGGATCTCATTGAGTGGAGAATAGGGGCATAGCAGATGCCTTTCTATATGTGGAGTGGAAGTCCAGTAGGCTTTTTCTCCCTAATCATGCTGTTGGAAGCCTATTAGCGACTGCGGTAGCCTAAATAAGTGCCTGTGACCACCATTAAGCCGGCATACTTGCACCTAATAGCGCACCTCGAACTTTTTCCATTAGCAGCTGATGGGTACGTTCAGCACTTCCATTCTCTTCCTGTGAGTCAGCATTGGACTTTTGAAATATAATTTCGTGTTTGTCACAGTAGGGAGAGATCACTGAATTGACGAACTCTGTTTCTCCATCAGCTCGAATTCGTTTGACCTTAAAAGGGAGCTGCTTCTCTAGCTGTGTAATTAAAGCCTTAATTTTACCTGCCACTTCTTTTACCGATTTTAGTACAAACGACCATCTATAAGATGAGGCATCATCCACAACAGCCAGGGTGTACCCAAATCCTATGCTTCCATACAGTCCAAATGTCTTTATTTTCCCCATTGTATCCATATGAAGAGTATGAATTGGTTCGGTTGTGCGAGAACGCACCATACCCTTATAAGACATCCTTTTGAATTAGCCAGAATGCACGTTCGACAGAACAGAGGTACCTTTTGCAGGTCTTTATAGAGTACATACGGTACATTTTCCGTAGCTCTACTTGCAATTCTTCTTATAAGGTGCTCTTTTCCAATATGCCCTAGTCGCAAGTGCCATTATTTTAGTAGCTTTTCACGTTCGTCAGTTTTTACAGTGTGTACTGGCCGCGAATTTTCTCTTTGTGTGACTCTAGTACTGGGCAAATAGTAGACCTCTCCTATGGCTACCGCTGCGAAGAGCAACTTAAGCCCAGGTCCAAATATTGCAAGAGCTCACCTGTTCTCGATTGCATGTGGGAGAACCCTTGCTTTGCCAAATATATGGCACCTAATAAGTAATTGTCACATTATTTGTCAAAAGCCACATCCCTTAACGTAACTGTACAACGCTGATCATTTTGTTGTAAAACATTAGCTGTACTTTCCCTGTTAAAACACTACTCGATGTTCCATCATTCCCCTATGTAAATGAATGCACTGATCCTTTCTTGATCTCAGTGAACCACCTTCGATCAGGGGATATAGAGTGGCCGGCTTGATGTAACTTACAATCCATAGATTGTAAGTTACATCAAGCCGTATCAGATTCTCCAAGTGGAAGTTGTACGCTCGGCTTGCCTTTTCCTCAACGTCCATCATGTCGGCTGATCCACTTGGCGAGTGGGACTCTTGCTCGTCATTAACGTCGCCGACGTAACGAAGTTCGTTGACATCATGCTCTGTCTCAATGCTTTGCTCACGTAGCGTCTTCCCGTTCGTCACGGTAGCTACCGGAATCTGTAGCGACAGCTCAACCTGTTGCTTGGTCTTTTGACCGTCCTGCCTCTCACTGACCTCTTGCCTTTCTTCTTCTGGTTGCTTGGTGGGCTCCATATATCAGCTCGATACAACGCCCCGTCCGGGCGAGTGTCGTCACGGTCGGTGGCCATTGTGGGACAGGTGGCCTTGTGGTCTGGTAACGGCACGTTCCCGGTGGTGCCTTGCGCTTTCTCGGGCTGTGCTGACGAACAGCGTTGATCGCCACTGGCCGACGAGCAACCCCAATTTCTTTCCGTGACCTTTCTCCGAAATCACGAACAACCTCTGCTTCCACTTTGTCGATTGTGAAACCGTCGGGTGTTAGTGCAATAGAGCTGGACCAAAACTCACTAGGAAGTTGTGAGAGCACCTCTATACAAAGCCATTCAGTAACCATGTCTTGATCAATCAACGCTCTTGTCTTACGGTCGATGTCATTTCGCTCCTTCTTCAACTGCGCGAAGAGCGCTCGCAGATTCTTCCAGTTGGAGTTCGTCATCCGAGTCACTTATTCTTCAGTTGGATCAGACCACCGGCATCTCCTTGACCGTACAACTGTTCCAAAAGTTTCCACACCTCACATGGATCCATTTTCGAAACCGTCTCAGGTAGCGTCGAAAGGAATGAATGCGGTAACGTCTGGTTGAAGAGGCTACGCGTCCCCGGGATAGCACGGTTGTAGTACACCAAGTGCCAACGGAGGCTCTTCTTATTTTCCTCGTCATCAGGCGGGTCACTAACGGAAATCACTGGGTCCCAGTGAGTAAGTCCACCATTGTGACAGTAGGCTCAGGTTGCCCTTTCTCCAGAGTCTTTATCTCATGTTCATGATCATATTGTTGGACATGAGTGGGCACCTTGTCCTTCTACATGATGAACTCGCTTTTGATGCCATTGAACTTTTCCAACCCGAGTGGTGACCTCGCCTTGCTTGGTTGTCACTCATCGCGTAACTGCTGATGACGAACGTAACTGTTGTCTCAACAGGCAGGGCGTCTCGACACGCGATAGGTCTCGACACGCAGAGGTTCTTCACGCGTGGTTTACTTGGGCTGACGACCAGGGTATTGACACTCCAAGGTGGAGTGCCAACGTGTGTAGTGTTGACGTACCGTATTTCTTATGTGCTTAATGACGTTCAGTCATTCCTGACAATTTAACCGCCAATCACAGGTCTAAAAATAGTGTGTCACAGGAGTTTATGTGCTTACAGACAGGTTCAGTGCGGTGCAAAAATATACCCATTTGGCATTGAGCGACGATGTCGCAGCATCAAGGGCGCCCAAAACCGATCGGTGCGGGGCGCAAGAAGGTCAAGCCCAGCAGAACGAGCTTCACCAACCGCCACAATTTAGAAGTAGCACGGCACTTCATCCAATGCGAGGATGTTCAGGCAACCCTGGCTAATTTCTATCCTAGTCTAAATGATCACGCTAAAGAGCAGAGGAGTAAACTGATTTATCAGTGGAAGAGCGATGTGCGGGTGCTCGATGAACGCTGCAAGACTGCTTCAATAGCAGAGATGAGGTATGTTCGGGCGCCAGGAATCGCAACAATTCTACTCATGGAAGAGGAGGCTGCAATTGTATAGAGGATCAATCTGCTAAGAAAAGAAGGTGTTCCTATTAGCTTCAAAATGCTGCAACTCAAGGCCTTAGAAGTAGCAGAAGATTTAGCAGCTGAGGGTTTCCGTGGATCGTGGCATTAGCAAAATGGATTTTTGAAACGCCACAGACTTAGTATTCGTGCCAGAACGCGCCAAGGACGAACGACACCTGATAAAGCAAATGTGGCAGCCATCAAGTTTGGTATGGAAGTACAACAGAAAATGAGGGATCTCGGCGTCAACAAAGTCTACAGCGCCGATCAAACGGGTAAGATTTTTCATTTTTTTGTTTTTGCTGATCGTCCTAACGTGTTTTTTCTTAGCTGTTGGACAGCGGTATTTTTTTTAATATTTACCAAACAATACAATTAATTCTCGAGGCTCAAAACCTGTGTGGGTGCGTCACGCAGGAAAAGACAAAGAACGAGTTGCAGCCATGCTGTTAGGCGATTCGGACGGCGTAAAATATAAATTGTATGCAAATCCGACGGCATGGTGGAACGAAGATATTCATGTGGTCTGGCTTGAAACCCCTTTTGGCTCTCTCCAGAGGCCCCGGCAACCTGCAATATTGATAGTTGACGATTTTTCGGGTCACTGGACACCATTAGTGCAAACTTACGCTTCCGGGATCGACTTAACTTAATGCGAGTGCCGCCGTCGTGTACGGCGACTTGTCTACCAGCTGGTATTGCCTGAAATAGGCCATTTAAGACATATTTGCGGGGCGAATGGGTACAGCTATTGCGGCAACAATTACGAGAACACACGAGCTCTACACACGCATTTACTTTTAGGGCACCTACACGAGCCAACGTATGTGAGTGGGTTTGCTCGAGCTGGGAAAAACTTTCGGCCACGACAATCAAGAATGGATTCAAGCGAGATCACTTTTGACGCCGACTCATGCTACCGAATGTGGCGAAGCCGAAGAAAGTCAAGTCGGCGACTCTATTGGGGAGCACGAACTGCGACTTATCGGTGATTTTATCAGCGACATCTCTTCAGACGACGAGTTGAACTTCTCGGATGACGAGGACTTTTAAATTGCCACACAACATTTTCACACGTCACATATTTCTTTCATGAAAGCCATCCATGAAGGTAACTTTTATGTCAATGGATAGTGCAGGTACAAATCGAAAATATGCCTGTCAGTAAGCACATAAGGAATACGGTACTTGAATGCTGTTATGACCGTCAGTTTAGAAGTGAGCTGTTCGGAGTGGACAATCGACAAGACCTTTACAGGGCCCCATACTTGTCCACATACTAACATCCCTCGGCAACTTATACTTAATCTTTGTATGCACTGGCTTCTTTTCCTTAATAAGTGTCAGTTAATACACTTTTGACCAATAATACCTCATCTCATGTATTTAGCCAATCACATGGCGTAACATGAGGTAATTACGCGTTTGACTTGAGCTTGAGGTAAGGACTTTAACAATGCTTACAAAAGCTTATCGAATTAGATTTATGGGTCCCTCATCCAGGTATATAAATTGATGGAGTGACAAGTGTTTTGCTCTGTTTGAGTAGCCATACTACTCTTGTATGTAAATACACATTGGACCCAGGCATTATGTCGTCCTTGGAAGTGTAAAATTGCGCTTTCATACATATTCTGGTGACCAAAAGTTGTTTCTGCGTCCCTCATCCTCAAAATCAAGTTTATTGGGTAATGGAAGGTACTATTGCATTTGGTGCATCTTTCAGCGCGGTATGTAACTACGCTTTAAGCGTTAAACTACGTGTAAAGCATGCCAACAAAAAAATCCCTTACGCTTTTCTTATTTTTGTCCCTCACGCACAATAATGAGTTTTTATTATTTTATAAGGTACCATTTAGCTTCTTCGATCTCGTTGAACAGCGAGTAGCTACGCGTTGGACCTACTTCTTCACTCTGTCTCCCCACCAGGGAGCGTTCCAGTCGGCAAAGAATTCGCATATAGTTCATTGCAAGACTGGAGAAGTTTTGTAGCGCTCTCTTCGTCTCGCCTTCTCTGTTTATTTAAAAGCGACGATTGCTTGCGTTTCTTGCGCGCAATACAAACAAATTTACATGTTCTGCGTGGGTTCGTTGGCGCAGCAAAGAGTCTGGGTATCCGCTCAGCTTTAGCTCCGTCCGTTCCAAACATTTCTCCAATAACTCAACTTCATCTCGCGGGTTGTCTTCGACTTCGTCCCCTTCAATCATGTTGTCGCGAGGCTTAAACCAAAACTTACTGCGTAGATCCTTAGCACGGCGGTTACGAAGAAATCTTTTGTCCTTCATCTGTCGCTCTGAAGGAGTCATACCTTCCCGCGACAATGCGTATGCTTGGGCTGAGATGTCGCCGCGCACCTTGCAGAATATCCAGAAGCAGACATCCATCGTTCTAACCAACATTCTATTGTGATTATAAAAGTCAAGTCTCAATGAATATTAATGGACGGGGGCAAATTTTGCTAGGCCAGGGCTTAGCGAGGAACGGCTCCTCGATTCACGGTACATTTCACCGATCTACTGTACCCGCTAACGTCGTCTTAACTTCGGCCGTTGCAGTCTATTGGAACTCGGCCGAAGATAACAGATATTGGTAGCGCTCAGTATACACTTGAACTAACTATGGGAGAGTAAACGTACCCCCGCTAACTTCGTCTGCAAAATTCATTGGTTAAAATAGAACAGACCACTGGCGAATTCTCGGAGGGGCAAGTAAGCGTCGGAGTCCGCGAGGACGGCTTAAACGAGTGCGTGGTGAGTTCGTTTGGACGACGTACAACTAGATGCGCTGCGGGGGGTATGTGCTACTCCATCTACTCTTTCTCTGCGATCCCTCTGTTGGCTAATTAATTGCTTGTGGTGTGTTGATGTATTAGAGCTCCTCCAAGCGCAAGACCACGTCTGCTTAAGCACCAAGGTGCCTACATCGTCCACTGCCGAACCTGGTTTATCCCCGGGAAGCCTTGTGTATTTTGCAGTCGGAAGAGCTGCCCAGTCGGAAGAGCTGCCACAGAGCCGCCACAAAGACACCATCGGTCCATGAGACCCTACCACTTTTCTCAACGGATGCACGCCAAGCTGCATTACGCTTGCAGGCCATTGGAGCGCAGGTACGTACGCTAATACTGTCGGTTTGCTGAGTGTGATGCTAACTACTGTCTGTCGTCTTTACTTTTGCGCTAGAATGAAGGGCGCAGTTATGTTGTGGATGGCAGAGCCTCGCGATCAAAGCGAATGCATGCCGCAATTAGTCTTTGAGGCGCATTATGACAGTATGAACTTGGCGAGGGCAACCGCTGAGGTATGGCTGTCTCGGCAGAAATCTAAATTGGCCTTTATTCTAATCTTTCTGTTTAATCAAATTTTTTCTGTGGTCTTCAGCTTTTTAGTCATATCTACTCTGTAGTCACGGCGCTGAAAAGCGGATGCGCGACAACGAGCGGAAGGCGGCCCGTTGACCATCACTTAGTTCGCTCCAGGCTTTGACAATTCCTGTAAGTTTACCAGACCTACGTCGTTTGCGTTTCCCTCGTTCTACTTTGTCAGTTTTGCTCAAGCCTGTCACTAACAATGTCTCGCATTGACTAGCCATGGTTACCATAGCAGACATCCACTGCATCCTTTCCAACTCGTGAACTGGCGCTGGGATAGGTGGTATACTAGACAAATCAGCAACGTACGCCACAATTTCGACAGCACGCAAGCAGTCCTTTTGACTTCTGTTGCCACGGGATTTGGAAAGAGAACTGAGACCCTCCACGAAATACTGCACCAAGAAGTCGGACAGACGCTTGCCCCTCAAGCTGGATAAACTGTGTGGCCACGTTTGTTCTACCATTGGAGGACGTAGTTCCAGTGTTGAGGCTGCATTTGGTGGCTGGGTTTGCTCCGCCACGTTGTTGGTACTGCACACAGCGCACACGGTGTGCTCCATGCGAGGCATGTGATCTAACCTATCTAATATTTGATGCATCATGTTTTTCAGACTTTCATTTGCCGCAACAAGTTCTTGATGCCCAAGTAATAACCTCTCAAGCGTATCCCCAAAGGTATGAACTCCAACAAATTGTTCCGCTTGTTCTTCCATCGTGAGACTGCTTTTAATACTTTCTACTGGAAGCGAGAGGATGTTATCAGTAACAAACCGCTTCCGGATCTTGCTACCCCAGTCCAGCAGCTCCTCCTGATACGAATGCAGCTGTGGTAACGCGGCGTGTACACTCTGCATTTTCTGGTGAACAATGTGCTGTGGGGAAATTGCTAGCGTGTCTCGGTAATACATTAAAAGCGTCGCGGTAAGACAGTCAGCAAAACCCTTCGGGGAAATCTTTGCAAAATGGAGAAGCCGTAAAGAGTCAGCAAATTGGCTAACTCTGGTGTATGTTTGATGTGATTCCATCTCGAAACAGGCTAGCGAGGGTGGATGACCAGCTTGCTTGGTATCTATCCAGCCGCCCAGCACTTTAGCAACATTTTGGTCTGCAGCAGTGGTAGGTGATATGTATTCGAGAAGAGTTGCAAATCCATCCATTGACCACAATCCTCTGTGTGCTAGATCCGACAAGTTCACGCTGGCGTTTGAGCTGGCGTACGCCGCACCACCTCGTCGTGTTGAATGCGACTGGAGATTTCTCGTAAGTGTCAACGTGTGATCATACTTGTACATGGATTTCAATAACCTGTTGATGTACGCAGCCACATGCGCTTCCGTCGTAGTCTCCAATACTTGTGAGAACACCCTTGGCGAGGCGTTATACGGATTGGCAATTAGCTGAGATGCCAAAGCATGGAAAGGGTCAATACTCCAGCATATAGGAGAACAGAAAATCGAAATACTTTGTTGTTGTCGAACTTTTATGCTGCAGAACGAAAACTCAATTAATAGGAACAGAAGAAATAGTACTAGCTAACTCTTACCGTGTGACGTCGATGAGAACAAAGTTCCCATTCCAGTGTAAGTCTGAGAAGTGAATGGTGCCAATATCCGAGCTGCGTCCAATTGCTAGCCATTGATTGTTAAGCAGAGTTCTGTCTAGTAGCGCTTCGACATCATTGCGAAAAAAGAGAATTGTAGAGATGGAACGTAAGTCGTCTAGTGTCATAGGAGGAGCCTGTTGCTTCAGCTTTTTTCCAGTCGAAATGGAAAGCATGAGATATTGTTTTTGAAGATGACGACGACATCGTCGGTACCACTCCGGGTCGTTGCGGAAAAGCTCTGTGCCAGTCGTCTCTTCCAGATGACGCTTGATAGAGCTGAGATAGCTCATCGACGTCTGCCAATGGATGTCAGGATCATTAAACAAAAAAGATAAAAACTTACCAGACATTTCTTTTGTCACATGAGCTGCTGTTAGCGTATCTAGCTTCAGAGTCTTGTCTACATGTCTGATCAAGAAGGCATTGAACTTCGCCCTTGCGGACGCATCTTGCTTCTTGGAAGAGGGGCCAAGCTCACTCTCCATCAAGTCCACAATCGATTCCACGTTGGTATCGCCTGCCATCTCCAAAAGCTTTTCCCCGACTGGTCACAGTAAGGTGACGTTACTTGAATGTTGCGCTAAGGTAACTTTGATTATCTTCGTCAGACGAAGTTAAGTAAATACCCTACTGTAAAGGTGGTATTATTAAATGAACAACGGTAAGCTCTTTACGATGCATATGCAGTCTTAGTGTTTGTGGCGCGCTAAAACAACAAGCACAAAGCAGTACGTATTTATATTTGATTGGAATGAGCGCATTACACTGACGTCCATGGGCTGGCTCAGACCGGTGATCCTTTTATAGAACCTGTGTATGGCATTGCTTCTCCAAGTGTTTCTTAATATTTTGCATTTTTATGAACCTTAAGGCTGTCCTACATTAGCACTTTGGGTACATCTACTCATGGTACATGTGCCTATACCAATAAACATATTTACAAAACGTTATTTTAAAGAAATCCAATTTTCTCATCGATCCATATCATCATACTGTCGTGATCTGTCCACGCTTTGCGTTGGATGGCATGTACGCATTTTAAAAAGCCGAACGGCTTCGCGTTCACTTCGGCCCATACC